GACGAATCCGATGATCTCGTGTCCTTAGACACACCCCATCATAGTTTTCCTCGGTGGCATCATCGGGACGAAAATTCATTCTTTCTTGAGATCTCATCGACGAAGAGAGTAGCGCTTTACGATCTGTAAGTATCACATGTTTGAGTCAGATTGTGTGAGCAAGTATATCTATCATCCCGTGGATTCGTTATCGAACCTAAGACCAACGTAACTAGTATCGCAAGTGCCCAATCACTGCGGTTGATTGTCGAATCGGTAGTATCCATACTCGTATTACCAGGCCGTACCGTCGTTATAACACAACGATGGCCAATTCCAATGAAGATCTATCAAACGCCCACAACCCTATTCATGACGCTTCTCTGACATATTTATATTTTTTTTTTTATAAAAATTTGGGCAAAGTTGACGAATCATATGTTTAATTACATCTCATATCTAATTTACATGTTTAAGATAATAGGAATGTCTGTATTATATAAACAGTAAAAGAATCCATAATATATTAATGTGAAACTGAAGATATATAAAGCTAAATCTCCAACTATCATATGACTTATTGTTACTAATTTTTTTAATTGATAAGTTAACTCAGGCTTAACATTGCATAAGATCAAAGCAGCATACAGTAGATTATTCTCTTGCATTTCTCGTGTATTCTTATAGTTGTACAAACGTCCCAGCATTACTAGAAAGTATGGTATTGTGATTGTCTGTAATATTTAATCCAGTATTTATTAGTACAACAAAATTCCAAGAATTTCAGTTTTTGATAAGTATCTATAATTACCTTCCCAAATAAATGATCCAGTTGTAATATGAGTAGAATATTGACAATAACAGCTAATAATATATAATTTATGCGATTTGTTAATAATGGAAGTGACAAACTTTTTGTCTCATATGAAGTACTGTCAATACCTTCAAGATTAATACTTAAATTACCAAGATTATCTATAATATTTTTGTAAAAATATAATTTCAATGTTATATTGCATATTACCTGATATATCGCTATTTATATTTGGATATAAAGTTTCATTTTGTATATCTGGAGCAGTGAATGTTTGACTGAATGAACCTAAATGTATACTCTGGACTAGAATGATATAAGAACGAATATAAAAATATATTTTTAATAGTTATCTTTTATAATGAATGAAAATAAGAATGAAATGAAAATAAGTAAATTATATTTACCTTTTGATTCATTATCGTTGTCTCTACCAGTAATTTTCAATAACCGTTTCTCTGAATTTTCCAAAATTCTCCTTCTTCTGGCGTTTCTTCTGGCATTAATATCTTCCATGTCTCCTGCTGTATATTAATTAATTAAATATCAGCAGCTAAAATGTATCTTCCTTTTTAACTTAATATACATGCATGATATTGGCATAATTTAAAGAAGTAATCTTTGAAATCTATAAATACAACGTACGACGTATAATACATTGATCTATCACATAAAATTTGCAAAATTCATTTGCAATATCAATAATCGATAATCAAACGTTAACGATAAACAAAGAATGTTATTGACTTCCATTTACAGAACAAAATTTCGATTAATTAGTTGCATTTATAAAAAAGGCTTAAATATTATGGTTTTTAGCAAACAATGATTTTAGGAATTAGAAATCATTATAACTCTGCCTACAACGTGTAATGATTAATTTCTAAAATTATAAATGTCAATCTCATCGAATTGACAGAATTAGAGCGTAAATAGCAATGCCACTAACAGATATAAATTTATAATTCAGTTGTTTAATTTCACTTTATTATTTGTTTATGTTAACAGGTTAAACATAAAACAAACTTTTACCAAACAATTCTTACTCTTACATAATTTTAGTTGGTATTTAAATATATATATTGTGTAAAATATGTGATTCAAATGTAAATTAAGCTGCGTATCGCATGAGATTCTGAACCGTTACTGCATGCACAATGAAAAGGCAGCATATATTTAAGACGTGTTTACAAATAAGTACGCTTGCATTTCAGTAAAATCTGGCTAGGCATCACGGCTTTTGGCGGGTTAAACATACCTTGTTAGTGTTGAAGTTTTAGCGAAATATAATAATGGGCGATAAAGACGGTGGTAAGATTAATGTTAATTACCTAACATTCTTTTTAGCTTTTCTAATTATTTTTATAGTTAAGTCTATCAGTTGTTTGCCGTTTCAAAGAATGCTTTCAGTATTATGATAAACAAGGATATCTTTTTCAACATTTCTTTTTCACAAATTTCTATGAAAAATAAAGCTTATTGTTTAAAATTGGTTTGATTTATCATTATTATTTCATTTTGTTTTACATTAAGACATAAAGTATTCTTACGTCGTAAATACAGCATGTGTGATGGAATTGTATTTCGATAGGTTATAATGTTACAAAAAGATACGACTTTCATTAGTTAAAATATTGATTTTTTAATTCTGGCACTGTACGTTTTTTCCTAATTATATTAATCGAGAAACGAATCGATTTATATTTTCGTACCATTTTCATATTTTGAACGCTTCATTATATGATTGTATAATGTAAAAAATCATTTAATCATGTATATATGTTAATATTTGTATACATTTTAACTTTTTCTTAAATATTCTGTTTCTTTTATTTCACAAGTTATTTAATTGTAGAAACTTTTGACGATGCTGTGGAAGAAAGAGTTATCAATGAAGAATATAAAATATGGAAAAAAAATACTCCGTTTTTATATGATCTTGTGATGACACATGCTTTAGAATGGCCATCTTTAACTGCTCAATGGTTACCAGATGTAACTAGACCAGAAGGAAAGGATTATTCTGTACATCGTCTTATTTTGGGTACTCATACTTCGGACGAACAAAATCATTTACTTATAGCTAGTGTACAATTACCGAATGAGGATGCTCAATTTGATGCATCTCACTATGATAATGAGAAAGGAGAATTTGGAGGATTTGGTTCTGTTAGTGGAAAGATAGAAATTGAAATAAAAATAAATCACGAAGGAGAGGTAAATAGAGCACGATATATGCCACAAAACCCGTGTGTAATTGCAACCAAAACACCATCTAGCGATGTCCTTGTTTTCGATTATACAAAACATCCAAGTAAACCAGATCCTAATGGTGAATGCCAGCCTGATCTAAGGTGAATACATTTTTTTATATTTATTAGAGGTAACAAAACTCATATAACGATGGTTTTAATATCTTTGATGTCAGATTAAGGGGACACCAAAAAGAAGGATATGGTCTATCATGGAATCCAAACTTGAATGGATATTTGCTCAGTGCATCTGATGATCATACAATTTGTTTATGGGATATTAATGCACCCCCTAAAGAAAATCGTGTGATAGATGCAAAAACAATCTTTACTGGACATACTGCTGTCGTTGAGGATGTGGCTTGGCATCTGTTACATGAATCTTTATTTGGATCTGTCGCGGATGATCAGAAATTGATGATCTGGGACACAAGGTAATTATATGTCATCACACAAAGTCATTGACAAATCAAAAGAACATAAATATTGTTACAATTAACTTTTTTAATTGCTCGTCTTATTTTTACAATTATTAGATGTAATAATACCAGTAAACCAAGTCATACAGTTGATGCTCACACTGCCGAAGTGAATTGCTTGAGTTTTAATCCATATTCGGAATTTATTCTTGCGACTGGCAGTGCCGATAAAACAGTAGCGCTTTGGGACTTGAGGAATCTTAAATTAAAATTACATTCTTTCGAATCTCACAAAGACGAGATCTTTCAAGTTCAGTGGTCACCGCATAACGAGACGATATTAGCTAGTAGCGGTACAGACAGGCGTCTTCATGTGTGGGATCTTAGTAAAATTGGCGAGGAGCAATCCAGCGAAGATGCTGAAGATGGACCACCCGAGTTACTGGTATATAATATGTTCCTTTCTTTTTCTTTTTTTTTTTTAACTATGTAGAACCTCGAAATTCCTAAGATATTACTAATGCGTTTACATTTTCTATAGTTTATTCATGGTGGTCATACCGCAAAAATTAGTGATTTTTCGTGGAATCCAAATGAGCCTTGGGTCATATGTTCTGTATCGGAAGACAATATAATGCAAGTGTGGCAAATGGCGGAAAATATTTACAATGATGAAGAACCAGACACACCAGCGAGTGAATTAGAAGCTGGTGCTTCATAAAATGTATAAGAAAAGTAAGCAATTAAATTATTTGATACTGGAATTTTCTATCGACATATGCGCATTTGCGTACATACACACGTGTGTGTGCTCATGCGAAACCAATGACCCAATTAGATTTAAGAAGACATTAAAGTGAATTTATACATTTAAACGAAAACGATCATCGAGAAGCAATAATACCTATTTTTATTACCGATCTTACGTCCGCTTGCAAGCATATATATTAATTACACACACATTTCTATAATTAACTAAACAAGCGTCGCATGTGAACTTTTAATGTTTCTTAGAAATAATTGATATAATAGTATTTCATTGATTATAATATCACGATACATATTATGTACAAACTTCTAGAAAAATAATTTTTTCTCTACAAATTTCGTGATGTGTTGAAAGTTTTTTACGTTTATATGTAAAATTAAGTGTGCACTATACAATAGAATGAGTTTAAAATGGTTTTCGATGAAGTATAGTTTCTCTTTTTTTAATTCAAAGCATCATATGTTTTAGTTTTGGTAAATGAAGATCGCAGGGTATCATTGCGAGATGATAGGAACACGTTTATGTTATTCGAATCTTATTAAATGTTTAACAACTCAAGTATTATCCTGAACATTTTGATTCCATTGGTTCTGAATTGATTGAAAATTGAGCGTAATTGTGAGCATTTGATGTATTTGACAATACCTTTTGATATAGTTCATTTTCATCTTCAACGTTGTTTCGTCGACGTGGGACGAAATTCAATGAAAATTGAATAGTAAAAATATGTAGGAATAATTTGTGATAGAAGGGATTGAATTTACAATTCATATGAGATGACATTTTATTATTTTCAAGCTTCTTCCATAAACGCGTAGATATCTTGTGTGTCTTTTGATATTTTAAATAATAAAATACATTACTCTTGTAAGATTTATATTTTTTTCTTTTTTCTTTTTTTTCCACTTTTTATTGCCCCTTCCATATTATTTTTCCTTGTTTTATCTCTAATTCTTTTCTTGTTTCTTTTCTTTTTCATATTAAATTTGTAATTGAATAACTATACTAGAAATAGAGATTGGAATAACTTTTGGCACTCGGTAGAGAAACGTACGAATATATTAAAGATAAAATCGCGATGAAACAAATTTTGTTCCCACAATTATACAGCCGTGTTTGAAAGCTCGTTATAAATCTCATCGAGTAAAGAATTCTTGCAAACGGTATGTGATCTATGTAGAGACGTTGTATCTTCATCGACGATATCCAACTGTGTGGTTCTGCAATATGAAAAAGATAAAAGTTACATTCTATCATGAAGATTTTTAAAGAATTAGATCGATTAATCGGATCCTTCATGTCATTACCAAAATTTGCCTGTCAAATACACGTCGCTTATAGAACGCGATCTCTGCCTGTTCGTGCATGCAAAACGAATCTTTAGCAAAATATTGAAATAGGTACGAACAAATTATTCTAGCGTTATATTTCATACGATCACATTACCTTTTATTGGCATTTTGTCGTTTAATACCGTCGAGTAAATTTACTACTGGCGGTGTTAATGTTGGACGAAATATCTGTAAGGAAAAGTGATAATGTATGTAATTTGAAACGATAGAGTATACATATGCTACTAATAATATATTTGTACCGTAACAGGAGCACTTCGCATTTCACGAAGATCAATATTTCTGAATAAATCATGTACAAGGAGCTCCTCAATAATCTTCTGACGATTAGATGATTCACCAAATATGAACTGGAGTAACTCGACGACCTGTACACAAACATTTCGATCGACTAGTGACCTTTTATTTTTATGAAATTTGTCGAAAACGTCGAGGAACAAGGGTTAGATAATTTAAAATGCTTGATAAATCATGATGCATAGAAATTGTTAAATCGCTTGTGTACGTACACATAAGTCATTGACAATGAGATAAAATATCGAACGTATTTATCATTATTAACGTTATTAACATAGCTGTTAGTATTTTTAACAAACCGATGGAGATAAATGGAGCAATAATGTGTGATATAATTAGTAACAAAGCGTGCGAACAAATGAAATAAAAAAAGAGCGGAAGCAAATAACGAACAGAAAGAAAGAATTTGTACTTGTGGATATATTTCAACGTCCGATAGATGCGTGGAATTTGGTTTAAACGATGGTAATTCGTATCCAGCGCACATCTCAAACAACATATGACCTGAAAGATGATAAATGTGATTGATCGTTGGAAAGTAGAGTGATAAAAGTAGAATTTCGATTCAAAGAATAGCTGAAATTAATCTTACCGAAACATATCATATCAATCGAAATATTTTGCGAAATACGAGAAGCGATTAGTGGGTGTATTCGGCTGGTGAAACCGAGGAGCGTGTTTTCTAGGCCGGCGAGACGTGCGACACCATTTTGAACGAGCACATTTCCCGAATGTAAATGGATTACCGTTGGAAATCCTCTTTCTTTTAAAAAAGTCAACGCCTCTAGCACTTGACGTCCCATTTGTTGAACCTGAGGTAAAGGAAGTCCTTTACCGCGAGAACCGTACTTCTGATTCCAGTCTTCGTTCCAACCCGTTCTTTCGATCTAGTGAAAAGAATAAAATAACATCTGAACATTTCATTTAATTCAAGCTTCTAAAATTAAACTCTCTATCTTTTATCTTATTCATTATCAGCAAATTAGTATGACTATCTATATACGATCATGATACTTACCCCGTATATCAAATCTTTCAGGCTGCCTTGACTGATTGGTTGAACTACGACCACGTAGTTTTGACTTTCCAATTCAAGGAAATCGATATCGAATATAGGGCATATATACGGATGTTGCAAGGCTAAGAATAAGTCGTTCAAAACGTTCTTTGTCAATGGAGTTATGCTCAATGAGCAGTTTCTATTTAACGGAGCTAACGTAATCAGTCGATCGGTTTTTAAAGAAGTATCTCTTACTATGAACCAATGTTTGTCCATTCTAGAGCCTGGTACAAATGAAAAGAAGATTAAAAATGATAATAGCATGGTCTGCGTGTCAGTCTACACGTTAACGTTGTTTAGCACTTACATACTTATTAGTTACAAATAAAAACTAGCTGTATGAAAGGCTAACTAAGGTACAGAGACAAAGAGAATCGTCAACAATTTACCGAGATTATTCAGCTGCTTGACGAGACTGTAGCGCGGTGTTCTACGGATATAGGCCTGACAAATTGATAAGGCACGGTCCCTCGATCTTTTTTCCATTTCCATGTACTCGCCAACATTTTCGCAAACAGATGGTCCATGATCCAACGCCGTGTAATTATGCCTTCCATTCCTATTTTCAAGTATACAGCAAATTAATTTAATTTCCATCCGGTGCTTGCGATTTTAACGGAGACGAAGAGAAAATCGCCCCACATCGAATAAATGATAAATAATTTCTATTCAAATTCCATCAGCATATATCTACGGTGGTACTCGTAAAAATATTCGTATATTTATCATAGAAAACTTTTTCGTGTGTTTGTGTTATATAAAACACTTTGAAATTTTATTCGAACTATAATGAGACACGATTGCTATGTTTACATTGGCAAAATTTGAATCTAATTTGAATAATTGACTGTCCAAATACTTTAGGACGATTGTTCTCGTTGAAATTTTAACGCTGTATAATTATTTCAAGTTATCAAAATCGAACGAATCAGAATCAGGTGTGTATGCGTGCACGTTCTTCGATTTAAAAAAAAAAGGAAGACTAAGAAAGAAACAGAATGCATTACCAATCAGTGGTATCATCTTCCAATTTAGCCGAAAAATTATAATTTCGCTTATGAATAACTTCTTGTTCCAATGAACGATTCCTTGAACGATACCAATAACAGATTAGATGTACACACCAACCACTACAAACTGGATCGGTCGCGTTATTAGCGAGCAGCCATCTCTCTCTACGAATACAAGGGTTTCATCTAATAAGATGACTATTGTAGTAATATCGATGTTTCACGAACGAACTCGTTTCTTTCATTCTCTATATCTCCAATTCATCTTACGAATTTTGCAAAAGTTAAGATGGATGAGAAAGAGAAAAGACTCGCTCATTACCTGCGTTGTTGTACAACTGGTATTCGTTTACTTCGAGATCGTACATTTTGTGTGCAATCGTGATGACGATCAATTATATCACAATCACTCGCTTCTGTTGTCATCGGAGGAAAATTTAATAAAAAATCATAATTTTAATATAATTACTTTCAAGCAAAACCATATTTCAATATGGTTATATATATTTAGCGTTTATACGTACTATGTACGTATCATTTCGATCGAAAATGATCCAGAAACTCAGTTAATTATAACCTAGAAGAAAGATTGGTGATCGATTCGCTTTGTAAATGAATAGCAACTCAATTTTATTTGTGCTACTGGTTGTTTTAATGGTGTGTATCGTGAAATCGAGGGTCAAGTATACTCGAGAACGATCGATAGGTAACTGCTTGACAAACAATATTTCAGGAGTATTAACGTTTCGCGAATGACATGTAGACTAATCGAACAATACAATGAAGCTCGAACAATAATTACAGTCGAAACAGGAAAAGATCTACATATGTATTTACGTCAGACGTTTATCGTATCAATACTAACAAATTTCGATTTTAATGACGATGGATGTTCAAGTAGTGATATGCCTCACGTAGTGTTTTGCTGTCGTTAGCTGGAATTAGAATAACTCGGCTAGTATCGATCGTGCGAAACATTCCTCTCTGTCATGCTGGTATATACATATACATACATTAAATGGCAATGCTGCTGATAATTGTACGGACGTGGCACGTTAATATTAATAATAACATTAACAATGGTTATGAACGAGATTATGAAACAAACTTGAGAATAAGAACAAGGGATGAAAAGATAGAAACAGGGGAAGAAGGGAAGGAAACAAGAAAAGAGAACGAATAGAAAGAAAACAGAAGAAAAAGAAGGCGAGAAGTAGAACGTACCTGACATCGGAATCCTTGCAACCTCGAGCAGCGGATACGCGGCTAAATAGTATTTTAGCTAGATTGTCGATTTTGTTGGTCAATTGGTAACTCTTTTCTTCGTCGCTATCTTCATCTTCGATGCTCGCGCTTCTTCCACGACGAAGAGTGCCTCGGGCGGAAACTATAGCCTCGGAATCAAATTCGATGGCGCTCTGAGTCCTTCGATTAACGGCACGACGCTTTCGACGCGTCCTCGGACGTTCCTGCCAGAATCTATCGTGTCCGGTCACGTCCGACTCTTTGTGATCTTCGTCCTTTTTGTTCAAATTTTGATATAGATTGAACATTTTGCCCAGTTTTTCGTCTCATACAACGTTCTTCAAGTGTTCAAGTACACGCGTACTTCTACGTTCACTATTCTAACGCTAAATAACAATTTTTTTTACAATTTCTTTCTCCTCGCGGTTATCGATAATGGATGTTAGACATACACCATTTTGATGTTCACACTCTTTCCATTTATTAAAAGTTATTATAAATATTTCTACTGCGAACACAACGTGGTGTACGAAGTATGATACCGATCATCCACGATAAACATTATATATCGCCTTGAGGTCATACAACTTGGGAAGTTGTCTTTCTTTTTTGGTTCGCTTTTCGATTCTAACACATATAATCGTTGGGCGTAAGATCGAAACGAATAAATTTTTCGATTTACTGTTTGATCGGTTATCGCGCGGGAAAAGATTCAAACGTCATGACCAAAAGGAGTACCGTTCTGGTACGATACTCGGTTGTTTTCGGCCATTTAGGACTATCAAACGGTCATTGTCACATTTTTTCCACATTTTATTAATCACTTACGCGAAAAGTATTTTGTCAAACGACGTCCCGTATCGTTATTTCGCGATTATCATATGGTCGTTTTGCGATTTCATTGATTTCATTTTTATTCGCTTGTATTCAGTCACGATTTAGTCACTTAGTTATTTACCATTTCGTTATTGTAATTTAGTTCGTTGCTTCTCTATCACGTTGAAGAATGAATTTTAATCGTGTACTAATTTGTAATATCGCGTTGTATGTATGTCGACTCACATACACAAGTGCGCGCGAGCGCATGCACGTACATATATATATACATATACATTCGAAGTGTCCAATGATCCCGCAGTGTAATTGATTTGAATAAAAAATTAAGAATAATATAGGATAAAATAGGAAGTAGACTAGATAGACGGTAATACGCGCGGTATTGCGGTGATGCAAACTGTAGAGCACCGCACTACCACCTAGCGAGGAGGACGGCCGAATACTGAATATTCGGTAAAGCCTCGTGCTAGTTTAGATCCCCCAGCCTGACACAGATTCGCTGGCCCAGCTGATTTTTACCTCGATTACTGGTAACTGCGCGTTTCCATCCCTGTTCTCTGGTGGAAATGCTCTGTGTTCGAAATCATGCCGTTTTAACGACGATCCTTGTTTTTAATATTTATTGTTTACGATGGGATATTTTTCACCTTTACTGTTTATTATGAAACTTTATACCATTTTATAATATTTGGAAGGTTTCAACCGATGGCAGCGCTATATTTGCATCCTTGAAATATATCTCTCGAGATATGTCGAAACAAAGTACCGTCAAAGATTTTGTTCAAACATTAAATTATAGTCGTTGAATAAAACAAACGAGAACTCGAATACTCTACCGTTATGCTTTTCCTTTTTGCATTTTTCGTATCACTGAAACACATTGTGACGTAGATTATGGTGTATTTTCAGTGAATCTTGCGAGATGCAGGAATTTTTTGTTTGTAAAAGACACGTTAAAAATATATAAGAAAAATTCATTTCGTTTATTATTTATTCTTTTTATAGTTTTTTCGCTTGTAAGTGTTCTTCGTTGTACGACGTAGTAACGGAATTAAAAACGGAAATATGAATCCGATTAGATTTAGTTAAAACTAGGGCAACTCTGAGTATTTTAGATTTCTTCCGATTATCCTACTAAACTCGAAGACTGCACATATACACATGCGCGTGTTTTAATCTCGCATCGCAGTTTTACGGCTGCACTCAGGGACGTTTGTAAACATTTTAAGCGTCGATTATTCCTTTAGTTGTTCGACGAATTGGATCGTAATGCTTGTCTTAAGCTTAAAATTATTTCGAAATCTATGCTATGAAAAATTTTTGTTACAATTTGCTAGTTTTGCAAAATGATATTTTTGTTACAAGCAAAATTCATTTGTAGGTAATCTCTATATTTGAAAAAAGTACATTTTATAAATAGATTATTGTTTAAAATATGGCAATCTGTTCCTCTTTATCACATTTGCAATGACACATCCGTGAAATTTATCTATCTAATTTTTCTTGAGCAGTTAAAGCTTGAAATTGCAATTGCCAGCTTTTTATTGGACGTCCATTGTATACCTGTTATAGACACATAACTTTTATCATTGAAAAGACTATGTATGTTTAAATTGAATTTAAAACATGTTCTCACCTCAGACATGAATTCCAAAGCAGCACGTTGAGAAAATTCATGCTCTGCACGAGGACCCCATTTAAACTCTATTTTAGTTAAATTTATTGTTTCCATAGTTATTTTGTCAAGGTATTTTTGAGCAACAAAAACCTGTCAGCAAATTAATTTCACCTCAATTCCTATTTCACACTAGATTTGTAATTTTTCTAACTTGCCTCTATTTTTCAGACTGTATATTTTACCTCGTTTATCAAGTACTTGACATTACCAAAGTAAACATGTTGATTGTTATCTTCATAAGGAATATCTAAATTCGCAAGAAAATTCGACAAAGACTCTGAAATAATTTGAAGAACATAAATAGAAATTAGGATCATTCTCAAACAACATTATATATTTCACATGGCATTACTACCTTCGCTGCAGGAGTTTTGAAGCATGAAGATGTGAGTAAGCACTATGAATAACAATACTTGTTGGCTACCTTCGGTTCCAAGAGGATAAATATGTGGTAATTCATTCTTTATTTTATTTACTAGCATATATTTGTTACCTTCGAGTTCTACCAGTTCATAACCAAACACCTATAAACACATGGATATATTTAAAACTTTGATTACAACAGGAAGTCATAGTTTTACTCGTACCTTTGATAACAAACTTTTTGCTTTGTTCATTACTGAAGGAAAACGTCTTCCTCGATTTCCAAAAACATTTTTTATTATACGAGTTTTATTGACAATTTGTTTTCCTCCGTCCAATATAAGAAGATATCGTATTACGCTATTAACAAGTTGATCGTCATCTTCGGAAATCACGCGACTAGGAGAGGTATTTGATAGAGGTATGTTTGCACTTGTACTTGCAGTAGGCTGAGAAAGGAAAATACCACCAGTATCGTCCGTACGTTGTTTTTTGAGAACCGGTTGCGATAAAATCTGTTGTGACCTAACCCTTCTGCTATTTTGTGAACCTAACAGATCATGTTATCATTTGAACGTGTATACAATCGCTAACAATAATAATGTGTATCGCTTACTCATTTTATAGAATACGATGGACAAAATATCTCATAGAGGTATTCTGTCGTAAAGAAAATTTGCAATATTTCTTGACACAGTTCGCTTTGGCATTCGAGTGATGCACTTGAAAGATGTATCACAGACATGTAGTAATATCAACATCGTTTACAATTTACAATGCCAATCGTTGACACGAAGACGTTAAAGAGGGAGCTAGTTTCGAGAAATTTCATATAATCGACATACGTACCAGTCGATAAACCAGTCGCAGTTTTCTTCCGTCACCACCAGATATCGCTAGTATATAATTTAAAATTGTATTTTGGGAAAATATAGCGTCGTTTTCACACACTCAATGTTGTGCGTTACGTTCGTGTACGGATACACACTTTACATCGCTAATTGTATATTACAACATAATAGCGGTACTTTCTATTTTGAATTTAAAAAATTCGCTCGATCGTTCGTTTGCACTTGTTCGATAAATATTGCGTTGGTTGAAGAACACACGTGACTCGATCGATCGAATCGTTTGATCTTCGATCGAATATGAATGAACAGCTTCGCTAAAGAATAACGATATTGATAACGATTATGTGAATCGATGTTTATAGTGATTTGGTAAGTAAATGTATAGATGAAAAGCATGGAAGGATCGATGGGAATAAAAGATATGCCGTCGTGTGTCAAGTGGTGTTCGTGTGGAAAAAAGAGTGTTCGGTGGTTGTGTTCATCATGTTTTTGCCGAAGACGCGAAACAACTGGTTGACTGGTCGCGTCTTAAACACCCTGCATAGTCGCATCGTCTGCGCACAGATCAGAGCGAAAGAGTGGTATGTATATGTATTTATGTATGTGTATGCGTATATAGTAGAAACTGGCTTGGCTGCGAGAGCTTGGCGCCACATTGTCGCATCCTATATACAAAATCACTCTCGCACCGACTATACGAGAAGTATATACATATACATATACATATACGTGAACAGACACGCATGCACTGGATGCTCGCGGCCAATAGACAGAGCCAGATAGCAAACAAGTTGTGACCCGCTCTCGCTTCTAATCGGTTCTAACTTCTAACCTGTTTCTGTAATCGATTATTACTTTTCGATCGACAGTTTGAACTTTACACTTGTCTTCTTCGTCTATAGTTTTTCCTATTCCTCCCGTTTGATTTTTTGCCTGTTCTTTCTGTTACACTATTTTTCCGAGTAATACATTCGGGGTACTAGTTTAGTAAAGGAGAATGTGGGAGGAACGAGATTAGATGATTGCCACCGATTGGAAGGTTTAAATGCGTAACACGACGATATATCGTCAAGCGGAAAGACGAATTACTTGGAATCGTGATGAACATTCGCATCTAACGGGGTGGTAGTCATACATTTTAGCGATCTCGTGCAATTTCTGGGACTGCTGACGTAGTTGATGTTGCGTTAATTAAACAGAGCAGATATCGATATCCTGTCACGCGCTATTTACGCCATTTGTTTGTTGCGCGTTTATGCTTACGTTCGTTTCAATGTATGCGTGTGTATACAAACGTAGCCGTAGCGATGGTCGCTAAATTCGCAAACACGTTAGTAAATACAGGTGATTTCTATGAACGCAGAAACTTGGACAAGATTACGAAGAGTACTGTCGCGATGTCGCGAATTGCAAAACTAGTAATATACGCGTGTGTGTATGTATGTGTAGTTGGAACAGATGTTTCGGATAATACTCGATGATTGAAGCTATCAGAATTCTCATTGACAACCATCTTAAGAAAAAATCTGGCAACGTAATTAAGAAACGAGAAGAAAAATAGGAAGTAAGAATAAGGTGATTAGCGAATATGCGCGCGCGTGCGCGCGTCATCTCCGAAGAAGTCGACTGAGTCGTTGAGAGAAGCGGAACGGTGGTCCGTGGTAGTAGTGTACACGCGTACACATTCGCGTAGGTCGTCCGACGACGCGACGGTGGTCAGCTGGCGCCAACGCTCTGGCAACCTCCCACCAGACAGTATTTCGCCTCGTTAATCTTGCTTTACGTATATGCTCGCCGCTCTCTTTCTTCCCTTTTCTTCCTCTTTCTCTACCTAAATTCCGCGACTCCTTTCGTTTTTCGATCTTATGCCCATGAGCTATGACGTGTCTCGCTACCACGATTGACCGGACCATTCACGGATTCATGATTCATGATTCACCACTAACAACTAAATACGTGTTTACACCGTAATTATTCAAATCGGGATATTAAACGAATCGGTAAAATCGACGTTTTGATATCAACGTATGATTCGCCGTTATTCGACAGCAAAGATAGATAATAGGAATATAAGAGCAATAGAAAGAAGCAATTCTGTCCTTTCACCGATTTCATTGTTCGCGTATTCTTTTATTTTTTTTTTTTTTTTTACACATCGCACGTGTAACGAGAACAGCGCGAGTGATTATTATTCGCCTCGTGTAACCTCCAAAAATTAAGCGAAACTCGTGAAATGATAAAATGCAGCTGCCACTGTTTCTTAGCAGGTGCGCGTGTACGATTCCTTCGTGTATCGGAAGTATATGTTGCATACACGATGAACGATGTCGGACGTTGGCACAGCGTGCATGTACTTACATCATGGTCCGTTTTTTTAGCCTTGGACTTATAAACGCGCGCGATAAGTGCTAACGTTTCTCCCGTTTCGTTCGGGTTTTCGCTTTGGTATCCAATATCGAATCGTCGTCCGTTCATTAGACTGCAACTATATGCGGGATTTCGTGATCTAATACGCGTGCACTTTTGTCAATGCGTGGCATCGATAACGTACACGATTTCTTAGAAGCAGATATTACGATCGATCGATGGATTTGTTTGCGGAAACGCGTATCATTCAGAGAAAATCACAGTAGAACAAATCACGACGCGTTTTTACCGCAATATCTAAACTGTGGATTTCTATGTATAACGTTTTCTATGGAAAATTTGGAGATGCAAAACTGTACATAATATGCAAAAATATATGAAATATTCAAAGCATAGTGCCTTTATGATGTTTTATAGACAAAACAGTTTTTTATCCGAATTCTGGTTTTTTAATTATATTCGTAAAGATATGAATTTGCATTAATACATACAGTCTAGCCATCTCCCACCATTAGGGATACGAAGGACGAGGAGTGTCTGTCTTTTTTATCAATAAATTGGCAAAAATTTGTTTACGTTTGTTTCTCCTTTTATTTATTCGAATCTCGATAGAAGTAAATACGAACGTGTGCACAGGCTCGTGGTAGTCTTACAACGTAAAATTGTACGATTTCACGCGCTCCATCGAAACGCACACGCATCGTTCGCATCGTAAATGCGCGTTTTGTCGAAATAACGTGAAAAGCTATTTTTATGCTGCGCAACGTTTTATTACACGCCTCGCTTCCACGTTTCACGCCCGTCTCTCGATTCGGGATCGCGTATTCTTGCTTTCCGCAATCGGTTCTACTATACATATTATTCACTACTTATCCATTACTACCATCATTGTTATCGTTTATCGGCTAACCATCGATGATTCACGACTCGAACGAACAAACGAAAAAGTTTGCATCCGAAATCAAAACGATTTCATCGAATTGCTGATTCGACCGACGAGAAAGGAATTTCTTCGCCGAAGGGTACTTAGTCATCTACTATCGTCATTTGAATTTTTAACGATCGGTGGGTTCGCTGATGGTCAACGTTCGTTATACGTATACATATACAATAATATACATACATATTGTCTTGCGTATGTTTTCGAACTTCAAAGCGTACGTGCAGCTCAGTCTTCTTTTCTCTTTCTAAGCTTGCCCTCTGTCTGAATAGTTTTAGATACAAGATCCACGCAAGCTCCCAACGAGGCGCCGTTGGTCGTCTCGCCTTCCGCGGTATCGACGATTTTCCCCAGCGTCATGATGTAACTACACGCGATCCTTAACACGGATAGCTTCGACAGCTTTTGATTGTGCGAATACGCGGGAATAGCACGCCTAAGCGTATCGAATGCAGCGCTTATAGTATGCACCCTTGTCCGTTCTCTGGCGTTTGCTTCTATTCTCCTTTCGCGTGTCATGTTTTTATAGTTTCTCTGTTGTCCCGCCGTTGGATGTTGCCTCGTCTGACTACTCTGCACGTTCGTCATCGTAGTCGTCGGTGTGCTTACCACCGCTGTTATCATTGCGGCCGTTGTCCCTGTCGTCGAGCAAGAATTACCGTTGCTCGAGCAGGATCGATGAATTTGCTGATGGTGAGACGACTGAGACGAAGACGACGACGACGAGGACGATGCCGATGATAACGACGAAGAGGAGGAGGTAGAAGACGAAGACGACGTTGAGGACAAGGACGAAGATGACGACGACGACGACGACGACGACGACGATGACGACGACGACGATAACAGAGACGAAGACAATGACGAGGTAGTCAAAACGTTCGTACGTTCTACGGGATACGAGCAGGTTTTCTCGTAGTTACCGTTTACTGCTGGATGCGACGGTACTCTGGCGGTTACATCGCCTCTCAGCACGAGTGACAGAGGTTCCTCTTGTAGTCTGGGATGCGCGATCGAAGATAGTGTCATAGGCGATGATGCTATGGCTGTATCGGACGTAGAAATTGCACACGAGGTGGTAGCGTTGTCAAATTTTTGACGAGATAGTTCTCGCTTCTCAGCTCGAGGTGTACGCGTTTGCGTCGACTGTCGTACTCCGCTGGGTGAACCGTCCCGACTTTGCGACTCTTTGGTGTCTTCGCACGTATCACCGTCGTCGGAATCGTGGCTACGATCCGAATTACCTTGTCGAACGTTGTCGTTACCGCTGCTGCGATCACGGTCGTTGGTTTGACAATAACGTTGGTGGTGTCGGTGACGATGATGATGGTGATGGTGGTGATGATGATGATGATGGTTGATTCGATTTGAAACGTGAATCGTTGGCGATGGCACGTTCGTTAGCAAGGAAAAAACGCAGGTTGTTGGTTGGTTAGCCGTAGATCTCTCTGCGGTTGTAATCGGTAAAGAAAGTTTCGCATCGATGGTCTTGCTGCTGGTATAGCTCCATGGTCGAAACGGGCTCGGTGATCGAAGCGTTCTGGTCGACTCCTCGTCCGGTACGATCTCTTCCTCGATCCGTTGGAACCTTCGTTTTTTCAACGGGGCTGGGTTTGGTTCGTGAATTTTCCGTGGTTCCGCCAACTTTCTTTTATTTTTCAACGATATCGGCGTTACTTGCACTTCTAGGCTATCCTCCGAGGCGCTTGGCGAGCGTAGGTCGGATATGTCGTCCTCGTCTCCGCCGCTACAGAAGCCGGCATCCTTGTCGGAGCTGGACATCACGCCGACTGAAATGAAAAACAGATAGCAACATTTTGTAAGAGTTACACAAGAGTTCGCGGTTGAATTACGCCGACCGACTACGGCTTCTAATTTTCCGTCTTAAACTGCTTGCAAGAGAAAATGACAAAAGCTCGCGAATAAATATTCTTCGACCTCCGTCTTTTTCTGCCAATCGATCTGAACGACGATTCGGAGTACGAACATTGTTGATTTTCCTATTTAGTGTTATCTCGTGCAAGACACATTTTGTTTCTTCTCGTCTCGTTTTCCGCCTAGTCTAGTTTTGCCAATCTCTGAAATAAGACGATTCTACGCATTTCCATGTTCGGTATGTCGTTCAGTCAGTCGGTATGTACAAGTCGGTATACATTGGCAGCTCTTTTAACGTTAGACGTAGTACGCGCAAGTTCTTGTTCTCTCTTTTCGTTTCGTTTCGTTCTCTGTGTCCGCTTCACGTGCATTTACTTAAGTATTAGGTTGTCCGAGAAG